GCATTGGTACATATATTTGGTGAAGCAAGAAGAACCACGCCATCTATTCTATATATACCTCAGTTTAATCTTTGGTGGGATAACGTGAGTGCTTCATGCATTAAGCAACTGTTCAAATCTGATTCGAATTTAAGTATTAGTGCAAATGAATGCACTTGCATAAAAACATTTTTGTGTGTGTGGGCATATGGATTTTTCAGGTCTTGTTTTTTAGTCTACCATTTGTATTTTCTTTTGTTTTCTAAGTTTGATGAATCTGTTGTTGCAGGCACATGAGCAGCTGAGAGCTGTTCTGCTTACTCTTTTAGAAGAGTTGCCTTCAGACTTACCTATATTGCTGCTTGGAACTTCATCAACTTCACTTGCTGAATTAGATGGGAATCCCTGTTCAGTATTTCCTCAGCGTAGTGTGTATGTGTATCTAATCCTTAAAATGACCTTTTATGCATTTTCACCCTTTATTTCTGTGACTATTTGGGCATAATGTTGACCTTTGCCAATTATTTTCCATAATCTGAGTTGGTTATTGCTGTCACCTTGAAGGTATTGTTTTCAGTAAATTAACCATTATTGGCCTTTAATGCAAGTTATAGATCTTGTTGAGGCATACCACAACAGAATGCAATCCAAGTGCATTCTCTTTTGTGCTGATATGACATGTGAAACATCATAGTTTCACACATTTTTTCAGGAATTCAATGTATGATAGAATGATATTCTTGTATTACATTTCCTCTGTTTTGTCTTGCTTTTATTTGGGTAATATTCATGAAGAGGACCTTTTTTACCCAATTCGCCTGCAGCATTTATTTACATGTCTTTTTGTTTATTAAAACTTAGTTTGACAGTAATGTATTTTATTTTTTGTCAGCTATCACTTGGACAAACCTTCAACCGAAGATAGATCTTTGTTCTTTGACCGTTTAATTGAAGCTGCATTATCAGTATTGTTGGAGGCTATGGCCAAAAAGTCACAGGAATCAAAATCTCTTCCTGAACTTCCCAAGGCGTCAAAAGTGGAAAGTGGACCAAAGGTCTCAGAATTGAGGGCCAAAGTAGAGGCCGAGCAACATGCCATTCGCCGCTTACGCATGTGCCTCAGAGATGTCTGCAACCGGTAAAGTTACAAGTCCTAATTCTGTAATATAGTGTAATATTTAACTTAGGGGTCCTTTCCTTTATTGTTCCCTGCTTCTTTCATTGATTGCTATTCCTTTCTCTTTGCGATTGAAGCTCCGTGGAGCATATTTCAATTGATTTGGGTGTAATTTTATGACAAATAGTTGCTGGAAGTGGAACTCAGGTTTTAATTCGGAGTTAGAATTCTGGAAATTGAATAAACTATAACTAATGTTGTAGGATGGCTTAAAGCTTTCCAAAGAATCATCCAAAATTATTAGTTATATTTCTGTAGAACTGTTCTGTCAAGTGATCTTAAGAGATTTTAGTTCAGAAAATGAAAAAGGTCGTAGAATTTTTTTTAATAAAATTATAACCATGAGAAAATAAAATAAAAGAGAAAATCAACTTTTTGAGATGTGGTAAAGCTGATGTTTTGTTGTGGTGTGGTTTTTGCCTCCTCGTAGTATCATTGTTGGATCTTTCCAAGATGGTTCATGAATGTGTTTTGGGTCGTAAGATCTCCTTTCATGCGATCCTTATTTATATTAACTTATATTTGTTGCCTTGGCCCTTTTTAAACCTGCTTTATCTCCAAAGTTGGCATAGGATGGGCTTGTAGATTTTAATTTATTGTTGATTGTTATCTTTTGTTTCTTTATTTAACTGTTGGTACACTTTATAGATTATGGTTGATCATGTTTCAGGATGCTTTATGATAAAAGATTTAGTGCCTTTCATTACCCAGTCTCTGATGAGGATGCACCAAACTACCACTCGATAATCCAGAATCCTATGGATATTGCTACTTTATTGCAGCGGGTTGACTCTGGACAATATCTTACCTGTTCTGCTTTTGTGCAAGATGTTGACCTGATTGTAACCAATGCAAAGGTGTGGATTTTTTTAATCCGAAACGTAATATATTCTGATTTCTTATTTTAAGACGAACATGTAATTTTCTAACTCATGGAGACTCACTGTGGTGAACACTTTTCAAAAAGCGTTTTTAACTAATTGGATATGCAGTTTCGGTTTATTGTTAGGAATCTTAGGTTTGTATAGAATAACTGGAAGTTTCAAATTTCAAATTTTGTTGGAAATGTCTTAGGAACTTGATTTATAATAATGCGGTCCATTTTTAATTTTTGCTTTATGTGCTTCTTTTGTGTTATTCCCTTCCACAAGTCATCCTGTGTCCGATTCGTTTGCTATCCTGAATTTCAGGCTTACAATGGAGATGATTATAATGGTGCTAGAATCGTTAGTAGAGCTTGTGAATTACGTGATGCTGTAAGTTTACTAGTTCGTTTCTGCCAGAGTTTTATTGTAATTACTTGGGTCTCACCTTTTCCCTTTTTTTTCAATTTTCTTAGCGTTTTAGTTTCTTTTCTATCAGGTCGATGGGATGCTGTCACAGATGGACCCTGGATTGGTCGCTTATTGTGATAAAATTGCCGCCCAAGGGGGTCTAACTCAAATTCCGGATGATCTTGGGCCGTCTCCTGCAGTACATGTTGTGCAGCTAGGAACTTCCACTCAAGCCAGTGCTCGACTCGGCAATGTCCAGCCAGAAACCAATCTTCAAAGCTATGAGGCTTCGAAAAGGCCAAAGAAGAATGCTGATGCTGCCCCCGCAGGTATCGTGATATCTATATGTATAGATTAGCCGACCCTTGGTGGTGTATGATGGGTCGGGTTTTAGCTTTATTTGGTAACATATGCAATTTTTCACTTGTTGAATTCCGCCTACCAAACCGTGGGGTAGAGTAAATGAACAATGAATGACATGAATCACTCTGCCTATATATTGTGCTAACTCGAACCACTGTATCCTCGAACCGTGGGGTACAGTTTCTGCATCGTCTGTAACACATAATATTCAGTTGTTAGAAGTATTCTCAATGTACATCCCTTATCTATTAATCTTTGTGCCGCTGCAGAAGACAAATCCCGTACTTCGGATTCAGTACCAACGAAGTCATCTCAAATTCCAGAGGTAAACGAGAAAAACTGTGAGAGGGCTGAACCTACTTTGGGTTATTGTAAGCAGCAAGAAACTTCCACAGATGGGAATGGATCTTGGGACACTAGAATGTCGGACGACGAGATTTCAACCCAAGCCGAATCTGTGAAGAAACTGTTTGTGGAGCGAACAGGAAACTATGGGATTCCGGAGCTGGAAAGGGTGTACAGTCGTATAATGAAAGGCATTTTTGAAAGTAGGGAGAAAGGTGTAGGAGTCGATGATCCGAAGCCTTCGGTTTTGAAGTTTTTGTTGAGTTTTGCAGAGGATGAGTCTAATTTCTCGTCTCTTTAATGCCTCTTTCTCACAAAAGGAATTTTTAGTCGGCTAGTTATTGTAAAGTCGGGACTTTTTCCCCCTTTCAATTCATATTATTGAGTGAAGCCTATCGCTTCTCTATATTGCATACATGCATGCATTCACACACACACACACACATTTAATAAATTATCAAATTATTTTTAAAATTTTAAATCGAGTAGTTAAAGATATTAGAAGACGGTTGAAGTTTTTTAATAACCGTCTCTCTTATTTATAGATTTACCCTTTGAATTTTTATTCCTTTCCATTTTACATGATAGTATACCCTCTTCTCTCTTTTGGTTTTGAGGAGGATGTGTATTTTATGATTATGTCGATTATGATATAATTGCTTCTAATTATATTTATTACCATACATTGAATTTATTTTTTGATTTTTTCTATGACACAATAAATTAATTTTATTTTTACATTCTATTTATTTACTTTTATTAGTTATTGTTAATGTGTTTATTTTGCGCAGAATATGTACCACACATATAAATGATCAAACAGTAATGTAATTATAAGCTTCAACTAATATCACAACTAAAATAATAAATTGTTCCTAAATCGTAGTGTGCATACAAAACATATCATTGATAATATGCTTACTTTGAGTACATAAAAGACACCAAACTATTGCCAATTATCTCATGATCGAAGTTCTGACAATGGTTCCTCTAATAGTGTCAAGTTGATCAGGAAACTAATCTTCATTAAATACGGATGTAGAATTTTATGTTAGAAATAAATTTTTAAAATTTTAAAAGATGACGAACTTGTAAAATTTCAGGGGTGAAAACGGATTTTAAATAAAAAAAATACATAAATAAATCTAAAATATATAATAATTTTTAATTTTTAAAGGGTAACTGCCTCACCCGTCGCAGATCATCATCACAAAATATTATGTTTGAGTTCCACCAACAATAATTGTCGTAATTAACATAATTGTTTACATATATTGATTTTATCGGTAGTCATGTAGATATAATTATTTGACAATAAATCTGATTTTGATAAAAAAATACTAGATATATCGATAGTTGTGTTAAAAGTCACAATGGTGACGGCTGTTCCAAATCAAACTTCAAAGTCCAAACTGCATGGGAGTTCTCTACTTCCAAACTCATTAATGGAATCGTCGTATTATTTCTGCATGTATTCTCCATCGGTGTCATGTCTTCTTTAAGCTTCTCTCTCCCTTTGTACTTAATCTTACCATCTCCAATCCTTCATAAACTATGTTGTACTTAATCTCAATTCGATCGATATTAAATTAATAAAGTTAAATCGCTTTCTTCATTGATTTTATGATTAAAAATATGTTAAAAATATGATATATGATTATCAACATTCGATACATCGATTGATTAATCTGTAAATGTACACCCTACATGGACCAGGAGCATTTTTGCATAAGAACAAAAGGATGGTCTCGATGGAAAGGGCGATTGAGCATTTATCAAACTAAAAGGAAAATAAGCACGTAAACAAGCATATCACAAATTCCAAATTAAAACACCGTTACCATACAGTGTGACCAGCAACATCTTTGTCTTCCCTATTTGAACAACTGAAATTGTTATCATGGACATACATTATGGAGAATATAATTGCATCCGGATTTTGTACAATCGAAAGACAAATCTACACACGGCTTACCACACTTGTTGCAATCTGGATAGTAATACAACTTTTTAACAGCAGTGACAGGATGCTCATGAACAGCCTCTCCTAGTTGAAGAATACTCCCTAGCTTGATGAACTGATATTGTCCAAGAACACAATCGACATGAGCTGAAGTACCACAGGTTGCACAATGATAAAACCAAAATTTTGAATCTCTACTTTCTTCGCAAACATCGCATTAATGACTTTCTGAATAACTGTTATTATCATGATAAGTGAGTGAAAGAAGATGTCCATCACATTTGTTCTCCATGGTAACGAACAATGAAAAACATTTATGATCTAAAGAAAAATTGCATTCCTTGCAACGGAACAATCCTTTTATATCATCATCACCACAAGCATCACATTGCCCTGTATGGTCGGTATAAAAACGAAGGGGGTGCTTATGTCCTAGACATGTTTGAGCACCGGGTATAAGAGCAAGAACACATCGAAGGCATGTATATCTCCCACATTCTTCACACTTATAGGAAAAAGCATCGGACCCAAAATCACATTTTACACATCGAAAAACTTCGCCCGAAGTGAGGAGTAATGGTTTTTGGCAACGATGATGCCAAACATGCTTTATCTTCAATAACTCAGCACAAACTTTATGAAGAAAAAAATCACACTGCAAACAGTAGTAAAATGAAGCTGAGATCGGTAACAAGCATCCATCACAACATTTATTTTCATACGCACTTACTTTGTCACTTAACATTAAGTGGTGAATATGCTTGAAATGTTGTATTACTGTGTCTTCGTCGGCGTCATTCCATTCGAGGAAGTTAGTTATGGAATTAACAGATATATCAACAGATTCCTCATCTTCATTTTCTACTATAGAATACGAACTTTTATCTTTCATTGCACAATTCACATGGAATATCACACTGCATCTTGAACAAGAATAGCTACCGTGCCCTACATTAACCTCCTCATGGCATATTATGCAATCATAAGTTCTAAAATCTTCTTCGTAAAGAAAATGTGTGAAAGAGACGATGATCATGCCACTTGCTTTTGATAATCCGGGGCAATGAGATGCAATTTTTGTGGACTATAACGCTGCATGTACCTCATGTATATGCAACATGATTTCCCTCAGTGCCACACGCATCACAAATGAATGGAACTCGTCTCCAAAACAAGGTAAATGGATGTTGATGACTTTTATCCTCGATAATAGGTGGGGGTGAAGGTGATATACATTCAATGTGGATAGAAAACTTACAAGTGAACAAACATAAACAAATCCTTCATCCCGGATATGTTGGCATATCTTGCAAGCGAGCCGATCGCTATTAAATTGTAAAAGAAGCGGGTGTTTGCGATGGCATGGATGATTCAGTTTGAGAGTAAGCTCAACACATTTCTTATGTAAATTAAACCCACGATCAGGAGAGAAGTATGCATAATTTGCTAATGGTTCCCAACACCCAAAGCACTTAGGAACATCATCAAGTTGTTCATCATCTTTTTTAGTGGAAACCAACGGATCTTCAAGGGCAACATGCTGAAACTCTTTCAAATGATTTTGAGAAATATTAAATGTAAACAAAGCACATTTAATATGAAAGTCCAGATCGCAAGAGGAGCAGCGATACATGAACTTCTCACCAACTTTATAGCAGGAATCACAAATGCAAGAAAATGGAGTTCTTTGCAGTTTGCATAAGAACAAGAGGATGGTGCTGATGCAAAGGATGATTAAGCTCAAAAGGTGCGCCGGCACATACCTTGTGAACGTAAAAACCGCAGTCCTCGGCACTGCGAAAACATGGAGCAGACACCTCCCCACACCTGGAGCAGTCGGCTATTACTCCACTTTGATGGGTGATGAGCTGCTCTTCATTCAACAACACAAGTGGATGTTGATGCCAGTAATTCTTTGACACCTCCATATCTCCTTCTGATGTAGCACAGAAATTGAAATCCAATAACCAAAGTAAAGGCAGAAATTTGGAAAAGGGGAGATTGGTGAGCAATCTTAGTAATATTTCTTTAAAAGAGTCTTGTGTTATCTGCGTGTCAAGAAAGGCCATTTAGATTTTTTTAATCAATTAGAGGTCCCCTCTTTAATTCTTAAAGGGATGGGTGATTATAAGGGTATAAAAAAATTGGGTTTGAGTGAGATTGGTTCAGATTTGTTTGTTTATTTTTAAAGGTATTCTTGTTTGATTTGTGTTCGTTTAAATTTTAATATCGTGTTTCTTTCTTTCTTTTTGAAAGTGTTCATGTTCAGCTCGTTTAGCGTTCGTGAATATATTCTTTTAACGTTTACGAACATATTTATTTATATGTTCATCAACATCTTCGTTTAGCTTCGTCAACATGTTCATTCAAAAAATGGTAAAATTATGCCACGAGTCCTTAAGCTCCTTAGGCTTCATAATTTAAACTTTAGAGTTCACCTTGTGTTCAATTTAATCCATACCTTCACAATATTTAAAATATAAAAAACAAATGTTCAATCAAAACCAGGTATCTTCGACCAGGTGCATTTTACATAGGAAAGGGTGATTGAGTTCCAAAGGTGCAAGAAAACAGCAAATGTTCAGTGAATATTGGAATTTAAAGACAGATTTTCTTAGGGTTTGGTGGATTTAATTTGGGGGGTGAAATTCAGAACCACATGCATATTTTGGGTCAACAGAGTAAAAAGTTTGGGAATAACATTCAATCAAAATCAGCATATTACTAAATTCGGAAAACTAACATTATGGCTTAATCTATTTATCGAAATAAAAGATAAGTAAGCACAGAAACCAAGATATTATAGTTTAAATAATCAAAATACACACATAGTTGACATACATTTAAACTCTAAATAGAAGTTGGGACCATACATACTTTGTGTTTTTCCCGGCCCCCAAAGAGAAGTGGTAGTTTCCAAGTACAGTAACCAGCAACACCTCTGTCCTCACTATCTGAACAAGTGAAATCGTTATCGTGGACATTCAGCATGGACAATATAGTTGCATCCGGGCGTTCTACATTCGAGAGACAAATCTACACAGAGCTCACCACATCTATCACAATCTGGGTAGTAATACATCTTCTTAACATAAGTGAAAGGGTGCTCATGAACATCCAAGTTTTCCAAAATACTCCCTAGTTTGATGAATGGATGTTTCCCAATAAAACAATCGACATGAGCTGAAGTACCGCAGGTTGCACAATGATAAAGCGAAAGTTTTGGATCTCTACTTTCTTCACAATTATCACAATAATGACTTTCTGAATAACTGTTATTGTCATGATGAGTGAGAGAAAGAAGATGTTGATCACATTTGTTCTCGACTGTAACGGGCAGTGAAAATCATTTACAATCTAAACAAAAATTGCACTCCTTGCAAAGGAACACCCCTCTTCTATCAAATCCACAAGCATTGCATTGCCCTTCACCGTTGATATAGAAAAGAAGGGGGTGTTTATGTCCTAGACATGTTCGAGCACCAGGTGTAAGAGCAATAACACATCGAAGGCATGTATAGCTCACACATTCTTCACACTTATAGGCAAAACCATTAGAGAAATGCCAACATTTTAGACATATAAAAATTTCACCTGAAGTGAGGGGTAATGGTTATTGGCAACGATGATGCCAAACATGCTTTACCTTTGATAATTCAGCACAAATTTTGTGAAGAAAAAAATCACTGTAAACAACAGTAAAATGAAGCTGAAATCGGTAATAAGCATCCATCGCAACATTTATTCTCATACTCACTTACTCTGTCACTTAATATTAAGTGGTGAATATGCTTGAAATGTTGTATTAGTGTGGCTTCCCCGGTATCATTCCATTCAAGGACATTAGTTATGGAACTAACATATATATCAAGAGATTCATCGTCTTCATTTTCTACTATAGAATAAGAATCTTCATCTTCCATCACGCAATTCACAAGAAATATCACATTGCATTTTGAACAAGAATAGCTTCCATGATCTGCATTGACCTCCTCATGGCATATTATACAATAAGAAGTTCTAAAATCTTCTTCGTGCTGGAAATATTTGTGAAATAGACGACGATCATGCCACTTGCTTTTGATGATGCGTGGTAATGAAACGCACCTTTTATGGAGTATAATGCTGCATGTACCACACGTATATGCAACATGATTTCCCTCGGTGCCACAAGCATCACAAATGAATGGAACTCTTCTCCAAAACAAGGTAAATGGATGTTGATGACTTTTATCCTCGATAATAGGTGGGGGTGAAGGTGATACACATTCAATGTGAATAGCAAACTTACAAGTTGAACAACAATAAACAAATCCTCTTCGTCGGGTTTCTTGACATATCTTGCAAGCGAGCCGATCGCTATTAAACTGTAAAAGGAGCGGATGTTTGCGATGGCACGGATGATTCAGTTTAAGAGGAAGCTCAACACATTTCTTGTGTAAATTAAATCCACAATCAGGAGAGAAGTACGTATAATTTGCTAATGGTTCCCAACACCCAAAGCACATAGGAACATCATCAAGTTGTTCATCATCTTTTTTAGTGGAAATCAAAGGATCTTCAAGGGCAACATGCTGAAGCTCTTTCAAATTATTTTGAGAAATATTAAATGTAAACCAAGCACATTTAATATGCAAGTCCAAACTACAAGAGCAATGATAACTGGGTTTCTCACTTCTTTTATAACAGAAATCGCATAAACCCCACTTTCCAGATGGATAAGGTGCATTTTGCATAAGAAGAAGAGAGTGATTCTGATGGAAAGGGTGATTAAGCTCAAAAGGTGCGTCGGCTCATACCTTGTGAAGGTAAGACCCACAGTCCTCGGCACAGCGAAAACATGGAGCAGACACCTTCTCCCGACAGCTGGAGCAGACAGCTACTACTCCACTTGGACTGCTGATCAGCTGGTCTTCATTCAATAATACAAGTGGATGTCGATGCCCATAATTGTTTGAGTCCTCCATTTCTCCTTCCACCCTGTGACTTACCCGAATAAATAAAGCAAGAGCTTGGTTTTGGGAGCAAACTATCAATGGAAAAACAACATCACAACACAAGTGACTCAGAGAGAGGATATGAGGTTTATAGAGTCAATAATGCATCTTATCTTTTTCTGTAAGCCTTTGCTCCACACATTATTTAATGGGTAAAGTATTACCTCTATATTATAGGATGTTATTTTGTTTAGTCTTTTGACTATTAAAAGTTATATCTTTCGAGTCTCGATTATAGGGTATTACTTTATTAAGTCTTCCGACTATTAAAAGTTACAAAATGATTATCTGACTATTCATATATTCTAAATTCATCCTCTTTAATTAAAAATTGATGGTCGTCCAAGATAGACATTAACTTATTGACTTTGATATGATAAAATTTGATCTAAAATCGTTTGAGTTGTATTTTATAAATCAACTCTCTGTTTACATTATGTCGTTGAGCCAGTGCTGAAAACATATTACATTGTCAAGCTAATGCTTAAAAGTAACAATGATGTTGGTAGACATCATTAAAATATAATTTATTATATTTCAATGAGTATGTTAATATCTAACTCAAATAAACATCAATTTTTAACAAAATATGATGAGTTTGGAATATACGAATAGTCATGTGATTATTTTATAATTTTTAATACTCAGAGACTCAATAAAATAATGTCCTATAATTTAAAAATTATTTTATAACTTTTAATAATCGAAGATTAAACAAAACTATGTTATATAGTTGGAGACTATCATATACTTTACCTTTATTTAATTTGATTTCATACCAATTTTGTTCGTTAGTTTGTTTTATTCAGCATCGGTGGATGGCGGTTTGGTTGGTGGTCATAGTTATATTAATTTATAGGAATAGTTATTAGATTATAATTATAAGAGAAATTTTCACAGCAATAAATTTACTTAAGTTATATATTTTTTATTTTAATCAACATTTAATAATAAAAATATAATTTCATATTTATTCAATGTGTTATACCGTGATAATATTTCAGACTAAATATCGATACTTTAAGAAATCAGTTAAAATATTTTAAAATTTGTGGACTAATTTAAATTTGAGTGTTCGTTTGGAGATATTGATTGATTTAACCTTTTCCCTATTACTTATTTTGCAGTAAAAAGTGGGATAAATTACAAGTTTAGTATCTAAACTTTTAGTTTTGATCCATTTGAGTATTTAAATTTTATTTTTTTTCAAAAGCATACATGACGTTTAGTTTTTGTTTTACTTTAATAAAAAGTAGGGTAAATTACTCGTTAAAAACTTAACGAACGGGCTGACTTGGTATAGTTTCGGTGAACAAATGACCAATTCGAACGGTGGACCACGAGAGAATGACGAGTCGAACAACATGGTTCAGTTTCAGGCCCATCGAATGGTTGACGAAAGAGATCGGATTAAGAAGAAGTCAAAGAGTCAATCGTCGATTTGGGGAGATTGATGTATTTTTCGGTGAAATGGAGGCCATAATCACGTTTAAGGGGTCGAAAATCTATGGGCTGGAAATTTTAGGGTTCATTGGCTGACAGATGCGACGACTAATGACTGTAGGTGCGACATTCGACGAGCTTGTCCGTTAAGTTTTAGCAGTGGGTATTAAAACGAAACAAAATATTGTTGAGTTAATCGATCGACGGAATCGGCCAAGAGGGGGTGAATTGGCAATTAAAAATTTCGGTGGAAGCTTTTGCAGAAAATTGAAAGAAATTGCACATCGATTTACAGTGATTCGACTTTCTCAAACAAATTCTACGTCCACTACCTTAGCTATCCACACTAAGGATTTTCCAACAAATTCACTAATTTGTTCTTCTTTTGAGGCCAAAGAGATAACCTTACAACTCCCTCAAGAATATACCCCAATTCTTGAGAATACTCTTTCTCAAAGAAAAGATTACAAATTCGCAAACTTACAAGAAAAACCTCACAAGGCAAATATGTTTGCACAATTCTAGAACAAAGAAAATAACACTCAAGAATGAATACAATTGAGTACAAGTAGCAAAATGAATATTGAATAAAAAATAGGCTTGAAATTGCTCAAACTTGAGGTTTGATACTTTCTCTTTGATTTTCTCTTGATTCTTGATAATTGTTGTTGATCAATGGCTTCTAAGCTTGTTTAAATACTCCTTGAATTGATTCTGAACGTTGGGGATGATTAATAGAGTTAATAGAGCTGTTTGAGTGTGAAAACAATTAATTAAAACAGTTGAGAGCATCGGTGCATCGATGCATGACCATAGTGCATCGGTGCATCAGTGTAAAATTCAAATATTTTGACCGTTGGAACACTTAGTGCATCAGTGCACTAAGTATGCATCGATGCATAAAATGCATTCGATGTTTTGAAAAAGCCTGAATGCATCGATGCATGGTGTGTTCATCGATGCATCAAATGCATTCGATGTTTTCATTTAAAATCAGAGTGCATCGATGCATGTATAGTGCATCGGTGCATGTAATGCATTCGATGTTCAATTTATTCAATGATGCATCGATGCATGGATTGATGCATCGGTGCATGCCTTTGTAAAATTGATTTAAGGCTTGATTTTGGTTCAAAATACTTTGTGAAAATTGTTTCAAAAATAGTTTAAGTATAAAACACAGTTGTACACATTTAGTAAGGATTAAAATTGATCTTGAAAGAGTTGGAGTAATAATTTGATATTCGATTAATTAATCGAATATACTTATAAAAATCTTTTGTAAAATCTTAAAATTCATTTATACTTAATTTGTTATATCGAAATATCAAAATGTTTTCAACAATCTCCCCTTTTTGATATAACAAAACAATTGTGTAATTTTAAGATTTGTTTAAGAAAGTCATTTTGAAATCAATTTTGAGATTACTCCCCCTAACTATGACACACATTTTTCTCCCCCTTTTTGTTAAATCAAAAAGACTCTAAAATGTTATTAAAACAAGAATTTGAAAAGTATAGCCAATTGATTAATAAGATAAAGTTTAAGCTGCTAAGATCACAATCAAAAAAGAGATTAGCCATTAGTTATAATTCAATATTCATAAACATGTAATGGATAATTGGTCATATATATCTAATGATGCAAAAATAAGAAAATTCAACCAAACCAAATATATATATAAAGTTCAAAATCCATAAAACACACCATAAGTTCAAAAATCCAACAACCAACGAATTTAAAACATCTAAAAACAAACAATCCAGAAATATCAAAATCAATCCAACTTTTAAATTTAAGAAAGCATGATAAGAAAGGCAAATCTACTCCATCGGAGGATCGGGAGGAGGAGGATAATGAGCTCGAATTTCAAGAGTAAGAGCATCAATACGTTCACGCATCACCCTCTGAAACTCAGTAATATGAGACTCCATAGAGGCAAACCGCAGATCAAACGACTCTAAGAAAGATCGAAAATATGGTGGCGTTTGATCTTCTTGCCGAGCTGGTTCCGGTGCAGTCTCATCATCTGGTACTTCCTCATCAATTTCTCTCATAAGCCATTGAAGCTCTGGATCGTCGTTAGTGGCAGGAGCTGGAGGAGGAGGAGGAGCACGAGAAGAACTAGGAGCAGCTCGAGAAGAACTAGCTCCTGGAGTTTGCTTATTGGGTCGGAAGACCCAAAGATCGGTTCGCTCATCTTGTACCTAATCCTCTTTCTTTAACGAAGTGAGATTGATTTGATTTTGGAGAGGGATAAGAGTGACGAGAGAGACGTCTAGACCGAGTTTGATAAAGAGGTTACTAAGTAGACATCCGTAAACTAATGTTTCAACATGTTTAGAAGAAATAATGTTTATGATATCTACTAGTTGACTAAAGATAATATGTGGAAGGTTTATTTTGATCTTATTCTTAATACAATACATCCACCATAAATCCCTATTACGAAGAGTGGAGTACCTACCAGCGGATGGTCTAAACCACCAAGAGATAATGAAATGAAGAAAACGGTCATGATGGGAGCGAAGGGTACTAACACTAGAGTTTGGAAGATAGGGATAATTCACAGTTTCTTTTTCGTCATAGACACCATTGTCATCTAACCCGAATTGAGAAGCAATAGTTGCGGAATCAATAAAAATATATTGTCATAAAAGGTAGGATCTAATTCCTATGGTTCTACATTGGGTTTAGTTTTGAATACATACCGCATTAGAATAGAAAATGCGGACTAATTGGTGAAAGAAGATAGGTTGAAGTGAAAACAGTTTATCAAACTTCCATTGTTTAAGAATCGGAAGGTATTCGAAGTCAATTTTGGTCATGGCTTGAAGAGAATGAATACGCTCTTCCCGAATTCTATACGATTGGAAGGACTCCATATACCTATTGTACAAGCCGTTTCTACGACATTCTGGCATATTGAAACAAGTACTTATGAGGGTTGAATGAGGATTTGATGGATTTTGAGATTGGGGAATGGGAGGACGGTTTGAGCGACTAGAAGAAGTCCTAGGGCGTTTTGGATTAGACATGGTTAAGGAGTCGGAATAAGAAATATAACCTGCAAATTGAAACATATGTATGCAATTTAATCAATCCCAAAACTCAATTGAGTCCGCAATAATCAAGGTTCTATAAAACAATCCTAATGGGCAAGGATTTGAAAACTATTTGAAAATATTATTTGCAAATAATATGTATAGTTTTTCATGAAAACAACATAATCAAATTTAGAAATTAAATTTAGATTTTCGATTTTTTTTTTAATTTTGAAAATTCACGAATTCATTGAAAATTTGTGAGTTTTTGATGAAATTAGTTGTAAAAACTAGTTTGTAATCATCAAACTATCAATGCCCGATATAATGCTCATCCTAGAACTAATTAAAACTAGTCCTAAGATCGAAAATCAATAAAACAGAGTTTTTGAAATATTACCTTGAAAATTTCGGATTTGAGAGGAACGTGATGTTGTTTTGCACGATTTGATGATAAATGTAGGATTAGGAGTTGAAAAACT